TTCATAAGAATATATCATTAATTAAATAGGGACAGACTGAATAAGTTTCAGTTGAAAAATGCATCTTTTTTATTATGTTTGTTCTATTGTATTCTTAATTCTCATCAAAATCATCTTTCAACACATCTTTCTAGCTAGTTAATTATCATAACGTTTGTATGAAATCAAAAATTTCGAAGAGGTTGATGTCAAACATAACTCGATAATGAATGCTTAGTCTCTGAGGAAAAAGTATTAGTGTCCCGTTAAGGTAAACGATAGTTTCATTATTATAAGATCATAGGAAACAAGTTTGCTTATATTTTAAATATATCCTAATTTATTTTCAATTTAGAATGATACCTTGATTCCGTTGAAAATGTATGATTGTTTATTTTAGTACCATAACTTTTAATAGTTTTATCCTTAATAATATTTTTAATTAGTTAAGCATTAGCATTACACTTAATATAGTATAGAAGAATCCTTAAAAAAAGTACTTCTAATTTGTTTCGCACAAATCACATTATGATCCGTGGACTGGTGAACAGTGAATAAGCGTTCGTTTCAAAAACTTAGGCAATGCAACACACTTATGCATTATATTATACACACACGTTCTGCGTATAAAACCTGACTTAAATATAATGCATTTTCAATTTTATGATGAGAAAAAATACATACATTGGGTGAATATTGTTTTTTGTATAAAAGAGTCATCATTATTGAGGTTACGCCAATCGCAACGTGTCAATATCAATGTGTGTGACAGTTTCATTCTTTTTCACATCGTTGAATTTTTTCGCAAGTTTAATATAAATCTCTACGGATAATCTTCGATTTAATTTTTATATTATAACTTTTCAAACAATTAAATTTTGATTATTCTCTCATCGAATAAAACAGCTTACCAACACCAACAAGAGATGTGTTCACTAAAAAGATGTTGTAATCTACAATTTTTTGAGATTAAACACCAAGTTCGTTTCTATAACTTTGCGTCAGATTATAACGTTGTGAAACAAGAGATAAATAGAAAAAAATTAGATCCAGTTTCAAATGAAACAAAAAAACTGTTATTGATCATGAATATTTTTTTAATTATGTATAAATTAAAAAGGAAGGAAGGTTGGCTGGTAAAAAGCCAACTACAGCACCACCATGAGCTACTAGATTAGGAGACTTCTCAAATATAAAGATTCATCTGAAGATAATAAACCACAAGGAATACCTGCATAAACAGTACTCATTACATGTATCGCTACCATGCTAAGCCTTCTCAGTGAATCATACAAAATTAGTGACATCTATATTATGTTTTTATCATTAAACCCAAAATCCTTTTGCATATTTCTTAGTTGGCGTTTTTTAGTTAGAAATAAATTAGAATCTTAATTCGTAGTGCGTGTGTATGTAGTAAGTGTAGCTCAGAAACAAATGTATGATACGACACCAATCCGTTACACCAGACCACAGATCAGTATCAATATTGATCTACGACAAAGTTTTCTGAACTAGAATTATTTTCTAATAGAAAAAAAATCTTCGAGCAGAGCCAAACGAAAATCTGATTGGTTAGAGATAGCCATTAGTAAAATATATAACCTCTCAGATAAATCGTTTTTTTATTTCAAATAATAAAAATAAATATGAATTGGATTTATTAAATTTTAAAAGATAAATTTACGGTTATATTATGATATATTTAATGAATATTTTTATCTTATTGAATGCTATTCGTTTAATCAAGTGTTATCAAACGTCAGATAAACAACTAAATAGAAGGAAAAAATAGCTAACAGAAAAAAAAACAGAAAAGCAAACATATGCAAAAAAAGACTAATCTTTTTATTCAACGCACAGGATACACTTAAATGAGTGCGCCAGAATGACGGCACATTTTTTACTATTCTGCCTTTTCTTTTTGTCTCTCTATTTCATCCATCAGTTTTACGTATTTTTTTGTGTATATGACCTTAACAATCAATATTATGTATATTATTTTTTTTTACAGATTAATCATTTTATCATATATTTGCTAAATAATGGGTCGAGATCGTTCACGTTCGATGTCATCCAGTTCTTCGTAAGTTGCTGCTGTTCTCAGCAAAAAATATTTCTTTTATTAATTTCTATTTTTTTTTGTTTAAGTGGGCGTGGTGTACAATCGTCAACATGGAATGGTGAAGAAGGTTATCGTATTCATGTGTCTGATTTAGCCGTTGGAATATCACGAAAAGAAATTGAAAGAGCTTTTGCAAAGCATGGCGATGTTAATGAAGTTTGTTATTTTCTTATTTATGCAAATAAGTAGTTTATTTTATTAATTAGGTATGGGTAGCAACAAATCCTCCATGTTTTGCTTTTATTAACTTTAAACATCGTGCAGATGCTGAAAAAGCTATTCGAGAAGTTGATGGAAAGTAAATGAAGTCAAATTTTTATTCGATAATATTTGTAAATTAAATCACTTTGATTTTAATATTTGTTTTTACTTTAGACTAATTGGTTCAACTCGTGTTGGTGTGAGTTGGGCGCGTACTCGCAGATATGGTGGTCGAAATGGTGGAGGTGGAGGTCGTGGTGGCGGCGGTGGCGGTACACCATATGGTTCCTATCGAAGTAGCCGGGGAGGTCGACGAGGATCGAGGTAAGAAAATATTAATTTTAGTTTTTACCTTAGTTAAATTTCTCACAATTATTAAATCCGCAATTTTCTATTATTCAATACCAGATAATATGTGTAGCTTTCATCTTAGTGAAAATCTTTTCGTTTGAAATTAATTTTTTTTCTGCAATTAATTTTGATTCTAGTAGCTTCGGGCATACTCGAATGGTCTTTGATGAATCGGGCGTTATGTATTGATAAGAAAATGATGATCTGTTGGTCTTTTCAGTCACATGCAAATATGACTAATGGCATCGGCTTTGTTTTTTCACTCTAATGATTTTTATGTGCCGAACAAAAATTTTTTTCTTTGGTTTTGAAGCAAAAAATAACAGATCAGGAAAAGTTGTTTGCATTTGTATGGATCTTATTTTCGGCTTGTGGGCGATGATGCTCGGCCAAGATGAATATTGATGGAAAGTTTTCAATTATTCATAATTTCTCGTATTATTTTATATTGTCGTTTCGCTTATTTTATTTAACAGAAGTCGTTCACCAAGTGATTCACGTCATCAAAAACGTCGAAACAGTCGATCACGTTCAAGAGGTATAAATTTTATTTCATCTAATATTTGTTTGAAAAACATTTCCTGTTTAATTCTTCTATCAAGATCGTCATCGTCGTCGAAGTGTATCACCACGTGATCGTAAACGTTCAAGTCGTAAAAGTACTGAACGAAATGGAGCTACGGATGAACGTAAAAGTGATGAGAAAAAATCTAAAACGCCTCCATCAGCTAAACGTTCTCGATCACGTTCAACATCAAGAAAGAATTCATCGAACGATAAGAGAAAGTAAAAGATTGATTTTTTTTTTGTGAGAACAAAATCTATTCTAAACTATTTAGACGAAGTCCAACACATAGTCCAAGTCACGATGCTTATGATACTGGTTCACCTTCAACTACTAGAGTCGTTGAAAATAAGGCTTATGAGTAAATAGAGAATTTGTTTTCCGTTATTTGATTTCTATTTTGATTTGTTTTCAGTGGATCACCGTTGGCTGCCGCTGATGACGAATAGAGTTTTTTCTACAAGTTATTTTCAGTAGTTAACTTATTTGGTATTCATTGATTTCTTTGTATCTTTTGTCTATCGTTGTTTTCTATCTGTAATGGGTTTAAGTGACTTGTGAGTTATTTTTTTTCCAAAAAAATAAAATCAATTGTTGGCTTAATAATCAAGAAAAAATAAATAATACTATTAATGTGTATCTTTGCAGATATTTTGTTTATTTAGCTTATTTGACTATGTCGGATAAAGATCGTTATAATGTCTTTCCATCACGAATGTAAGATTGTTTCTTTTTTATTTTATTGAATTGAATTTTTGTTTTAAGGGCTCAGACAATCATGAAAGCTCGTTTGAAAGGTGCTCAAACAGGTCATAACTTATTAAAAAAGAAAGCAGATGCATTAGCGATTCGTTTTCGTTCAATATTAAAGAAAATTATTGACGTAAAATTGAACTAAAACTAAACATATTTCACGAGCTCTATTTCGTAAATTTTAGACCAAATTATTAATGGGTGATGTTATGAAAATCGCTGCCTTTTCGTTAGCTGAAGCTAAATTTTCAATGAGTGGAGATTTTACGCAAGTTGTTATTCAAAGTGTTAGTAAAGCACAAATTAAAATCCGTTCGAAACGAGATAATGTTGCCGGTAAGTTTAATTTGACATTTTTTCCACTTATGAAATCTATGCCACATTTTAAATTTTAATCATCTCAAAGACGATCTTTAATAAATTTCTTTTGTCTTTCATTTTTATTGATATTTAGTATTTTTTTAAAAAGGAAATATCATTGAAAACAACTAGAGTATCTCATTTTATACAGGATTTTACAAACACTCGAAGATGATATCCTTAAAACCTAATTTCTAACGTTTTCTTGAACTTGAAAATTACTGCGCATTGGTTATTAGTAATACACTATTTAGATATAGGCTGAATTCTTTTAATCATAATACATAGAATGTAGAATACGTTAATTTTATATTTTTGATATAGAGACGCTTCAGTTTAGCTTTTTTTCTGCTATTATTCGACAGAATTTGTATTATCATAAGTGTAATAGAAAATTTCTATGATAACTAAATCTAGTTAAATCTAATATTCGATTTATTAGCATATTGTTTATGCCATGGGGTCGAATTAACTGGTGTTATATTTTAGTTAATATGAATGAAAGTATTCCTTCGAAAAAATAATCTTTGATTAATATATTGATCTGCATGAATCAATTTTATAAGCATATTCAGAAATAAATAAATAAAAAGGAATCTTGCATGAAAACCGGCGAATTAGATTCTTCAATTTTTAAAATTTAAAACAGCGTTATACACAGCTAAAACAATTGACTGGAAATTTGAATAGAAATTTCTATCAGTATTTATAACTTTAAATAAATTAGTCGCGTTACACAATCCTTCGGTAGAGCCTATGAAATTGTTTTGGAACAGAAAAATATTCAATTCTTTATATATTTGACTAATCCAATATTTCTTTATTGGCAGTTAGCTATTTCATATATATTTATGTTTTATTTTATTTTACTTTATTTTATTTAGGTGTAATTTTACCTTCATTTGAATCATTCAATGATGGAGGAGATAGTATGCATTTGTTTCTTTCTTAATTATTAAACGGCTACTAAATTATTTCTTTTAGCCTTTGAATTAACTGGATTGGGTCGAGGTGGTATGCAATTACAAAAATTGAAACGCAATTATGCTGACGCAATAAAAATCCTAATCGAACTAGCTACACTTCAAACATCATTCCTTATACTTGATGATGTTATTAAAGTAACTAATCGACGTGTAAATGCTATTGAACATGGTTTGTATTTGGGTTTTTTAAATCTGCACTGGTAACGATTTAATCTTCTTTAGTTATTATACCAAAAATAAGTCGAACAATAACTTATATCGTATCAGAATTGGATGAAATGGAGCGTGAAGAGTTTTATCGGTAGGAAAGAAAGCAGAGCTGAATTTTTATTTTCTACATTTACTATGAATTATTTATTTAGTCTTAAAAAAGTGCAAGAAAAGAAAAAACAAATCCGAGCGCTTCAAGAAAAGAATCGAGCTGCATTGATTGAACAAGGTCTTCTAACTGGAAACGAAGATGAACGAAATCTTTTAGATCAAGAGCCTGAAGATGTTCTTTTTCTTTAGAAAAAGAATGTTTTTTTTTTGTCATTCCATTTCCCTTAACTTCTGTCAATGATTCTGTCTATTTTAAACATTGTCTGTATGTGATAAGCTGCAATTATCGCCCTTTACTTTTTTTTTTTATATGTAATTTTCCTTTATCTATTAAGTATGTGTATTGGACAAAATAGAGATATTTATGCATTGAATCGATGAAAATAAAAATACATCATAGCATTTATTATCATGTATATCTTTATAGATGCCAGCTCCAATGTTTATGCGGGGTGCTGCCCCATGGCGTAATACACTTGCTTATCTCGAATCAGGGAAAATTATATTTCGTCCAATAGTACGCATATTTACTCTTAATTATACACTTGATAAACCCGATTCCGATGGCTTACGTCGTTTCATATTTTGGCATTTAGCACAGATTCAATATAAAAATCCAAATGTTCAATGTGTTCAATTTAAAAATACGACACCAACACCATTTGTCTCATTTTATTTATCTCGTTCATCATCTGATGATACTGAGAGTGAAGCAAATTCAGATAATGATTATGATATTGTTCATATGGATTGTTATAAAAAGACATCAAATGAAATTCACGATTCAATTCGACGTGTTATGGGAAAAAGTGAATTACAACAACGTATTGATTTAGAATTAACAGCACGATTAGAAAATCCAGCAAATTTTGGAAAAGATTGTGCACATTATTGTATGTGTCTAGTTTATGGACAAATGTCGTGTCCAGGAAGAAAAGTATTACCAGAACATCTTCGTGGAAAATTTACAAGATATAAAATTGATGAACTTGACGAGATGCGAAAGAAAATTAGTGATGAAGAAGCACTAAAAGAATATTGGAAAAGGCCATTTTAGAATAGAAAATAAAATTCTCGGATACTTCTTTAAGAATGTATTGAAAATAAAAAGTTTCATTGATATTGATCAGAGAATAATTCAATTTGGTTTAATCTATTCAATGGAGGATACTTATGTTCTTAGATGCAAACATCAATGAATCTATTTCTTTCTTATATTGACTAATGCTTTCCCAGTTTATTGTCTACTAAACTCTAGTTAATGTTTTCGCAATTTAATCCAAATACTATTAATAGCAATGATTTATAGCTCTATTTATAATGGAAGAAGATCATTTGTATGATGAAGAATAAATAGGCAAATAAAAACAAAGTTGTCAATGTTCATAGAGTCCATGCAGTTTGTATACAGAAGGAAACCATGAATTTGATTGTTTTTAGTTCTTGAGAAACTTTGTTTTCCTCACTTTATCCGTTTCGGTTGTTGGTTGTAAATTCTTAGTAGCTATGTAATAGGATATCGTGATTTTAACTCAGAGCAGTCGTTCTGGCTATCGAAAAGACGCTGATTTAACCGTTTTATTTAACTTGCAATTTCATTCTCTTAAATTTGTGTAATACAGAAATATCTGTTATTCGCTATTCGTTCGCTCTATTCGATATAAATGTCACAAAATGATTTCTAACATGTCATTTGATCTAAAGTGAAATGATTACATAGGGACCGTGTTCTATTGATGATCAATCTTTAAATAAATAATCTTAAAGATCCGTGACAACTTATTGTCTCCTTTGAATTTGATCAAATATCAACAAAAAAAAGAAAAAACTATCATTTTACACAATATAGGCTTTGATAAGACTTTAATGTCAAAGTTGATAAACGCATCTGATAGTTATTATCTATAGCAAGAAAAAGTTCCAATCTTGATACTCATCTTTTTGCTCCCAAATCTATCTGAAGGTGATCTATATTTTCATGGTGAGTCATTGACATTAACATATGCTGTCGAACACAAATGTAATTTGATAGTTGTTCTGAAAAATAATTTTTAATTAACATATCGGGATAGTTTTTAGAGAATATTACAGACTCTATAATAGAATAATATAGTTGATAGGTCATGACATTGAATTTAACAAAAGATTCTCTATGTGATCATTACATTGATATGTATAACAAGTCTCTTTTATTGTAAAATATAAGTAAAACAATACCAACATTGAAAAAAATTAAGTTGCAATTCCTTTCTAAATTATGAAGTCAAAAGACTCAAAAAGTATTAATAATTAAACAAGATTTAAGGCGATTGATTTATTTTTTAACGAACAATTAAACGATCACAAGACATCTGTGAATAAAAATTGAATAAAATGATTACATGTTATTCTATATTATAAAATAAGAATCGAATCTTGAAAACTACGATCAAGATTTATCTTCTAAACTGGTGGAATTTGTTCGTTGTTTTGATAACGTTTTTGATCCATGTCGCCTTTGGCTTGTGTTTAATAATTTTTCCCTTACACGTTCATATTTTGTATTTATCTCCTCACTGTTTCTTCGTCGCAAAGGAAAAAAATATCGATTGGAAGCTGCATTTGTGTTTTTTTCTTCATTGACAGATGCAGGTAGAGCAGATTGTAACTGAGTTTCATCGTTCTTAACATCTACTTCGACAGTAAATCGTCGTTCCCTATGAATTCGTCGTCTCCAAACAGCTGTTTTACTGGATCTATCACTTGGATACTTCTGTATATTTAATTCAGTTTTGTTATTATTATTATTATTATTATTATTATTATTTGTTGCTTGTAGAAATAATCTTGAACAGTCACTGCCTGGTACCGATAGATCGATAGCTTGATTACCATGGTTGTCGCATTTATTCACAATAGCTCCATTTTCCAAAAGTATACGACACGTATTAGTCATATCACATCTTGCTGCTAACATCAATGGCGTTTCACCATCATCATTTTGTGCATTTATATCACATCCTTTATCAATTAATTTATTCAATAAAGGTATATGTTCATCATTTTCGTTTATATAACAAAACCAATGTAAAAGAGAATTTTCACCATTAGACATTAGTGAACAACATAGGGCGCCAGCATTTTCTAATAAATCAAACATAGCTTCGTCTCCATTTGTTATTGCACAATGAATACTAAATTAAACAAAAAAAAACAATAATAACGTTAACGATAAAACTAAAATTATGATAGAAAAAGGCATACGGTCGCATTTTTGAGTGTCTTTCGACGTAATTCACATTCGCTTTTCTTTCAATTAATAATGATGCTAATGGTAAGTTCTTTTTTCTTACAGCTGTCATCAATGCTGTTTCTTTTCCATCGTAATCTATATTATTTTCATCTTTATAAGTATACGGTGCAGGCTTATCTACATAAGCTCCATGATCTAATAGAATTTTAGCCATGTCTAACGAACGTTGAGCTTTATATGAACTATAATCTTCGTATACTTTAGAAGCTATCAAAACAAGTGGTGTTTGAAAATTAATCCCATTTGTTTGATCAGGCAGAGCACCTTGTTCAAGTAATAAACGAACAGTTAATGGTGTTCCATATTCAACGGCTAATAAAAGAGGTGTATTCCCATCACTATCTATTTGCTTATTCAGGCAATCACGTTCAATATCCAAAATACGACAAATTTTATCTGTATCATCATCTAATATAGCCGCTCGAAACTCTGCTACACTTGTTTTGAATAAATACGATAGAATTAATTTCGACATCTTGCTTAAAATGTCAAAAAAAACTGCGAATAACTAATAATGAAAAGCAAAATCAAGTGAAATATATATGGCGATCGTCAGGTAAACGGAGACTCATACTTTGTCTTCTCATATTTTTTTGTTTATTCTAATTAGTTTACGTATACAAATAGAAATGCAATGATGTAGAACATGCAATTGATAAAATCCCTCGTGTAGACAAGACAAGGTAAATAAAATCAACGACATTCGAACTATTTTTTTTTTGGTAGCCATTAGAACAAAAATAAATGAATAATAAATTCAGGCTAAATAAGGCTTTATTATTAATGAGACGCAAATGTTCGATCAATTTTCAAATGAATTGAAGTAATGGATGAATAATAATAAAAAAATAGATTACATATTATAGATCTCATTTATGCTTAGTTATTTATCAAAATCTTAGTATAAATTGATATTTTTTAATCGAAATTTTACTAGACATGCGTATGTATAAGAATCATCGGAGTAAATCCTTATTCATACAATTATGGTACGATAGTCTATATATCTATATTCCCAAGTGTTTAACACATAATTAGCTATGTCTGGTGTAGGATGATTATTAAAATTAGGTAACAAATCACAACACATTTGTACTACGATGAAAAATCAGATTTTGAATGAGCATGAAGAGCAACGAATGAAAGATTTTAAAACTCAGTCGTAGTAAGAGTAATTGGTCATCGAAAAAGATAATGACAAATAATATAGCAGGTGAAGAAATAAAGATTTGGAAAGAACGAAATAGTAATTTAATCGACTATGATTTTAACCTAGCGATCGACTCGGAAGAAATCATTTTTCAAAACAAATAACAGCGCAACATAGCTCACATAGTTTTCTTTACCTTGTGTGTAAAACAATTATAAAATAAATTGTATACGGTGACAAGCAATAAACACTTGAATCTAATTATGTACGATTGTTTTAAATTATCTATCAACATCAACTGGTACATTCTTCTTTTTTGTCATGATTCTTCATGGATATCAATCGATTTGAGACATGAAACAGAATGAGACAAGTTGGAATGTTTGAGAATAAATAATATGAATAGATACATTTTTAGAATCCCTGGAAACATAGTCGCCGAAAGGAATGCCCTTAGGTGTTTGCAATAAAATCATCTCCTTTTCTTCTTTCTGAATCAATATATATATATACATATATATATTGCTTTTTAATTCATCTAGCTAAATTATCTTCGATTAATTAACATTATTCCAATTTGAGTTTTGTCAAATAGTGTAGCATTTTACACTAGTCAATTATATAATAATTCATTTTCTCAAATCTCATATTTACAGTGATTGAAGGACATTTATTTATTGAAAGAAATTTCTAGAAAATAATGATTACTAAATTTGAAAATCTTCATAATAAAATTATAAGAAGTATCATGGCATATATTTCATCACCTAACGATTTATATTACGCTTTTTCTGGACTGACTCAACGACTTGACATGATTCTACAATCTATTCGTTTGAGTATTGATATTTTTCGAGAAAATAAACATAATTTTATGTTAGCTCATTATTTTTCAACACATTGTAATCGTTTACTTATGTGTAATATTTGTCCATCGATTACACTCGTTCGATTTCTACGATTACGTTCATTAACAATGATTGAACCAACTGAATCACAATTTAATTCAATTCAATCCAGATCATTACCAATGCTTGAATATCTAAGGAGTCCTGCTACAATAGTAAGTATTTTTACGATAGATAATATGAAGGAATTGTTCAAGTATAACTTTATTTTAATGCAGATTATCTTTGAATGTTTATTTGGTAAGAAACAACAACGATGGCATATTCTTTGTTCTTGTAATTTTTTATTTTCTCCACTTCCAAAATTAAAAGCAACTTGACAATTGAACTACACTCTTACCGTATTAACAGGTATTACTTGCTCACGAGTGACACTCAGTCGGCTTCTAGTACTTCTTTCATGTCTTAAATATTTACGTATGAATATGATTTATAATGATCGTTCAAATTGGATTTTACCAGCAAATGTAAAAGAACTTGTATCCTTACGTATTGGCTTGTTCCAGTTAATTTATGATGATATTTCTTATTTAATTGGTCCTGCGTTAATTACATCTTTTACATTTAGATATTTACGATAAAAATACTTCTATTGATTTTTCCACGCTATCTACTTTACTTATGTCTAAACCACACAAATCACAACGATTTAATTGTGATTATCGAGGACCAACTGTTAATCTAAACAAAATCAGAGTTAGGTATCCTATTTTCCAAAATATCGAAGTAGAGAACACGGATCCAAATGGCATTATCAAGCTAGTTTGTAAATATATGCAACCATTCGAAAGCATAATACTTGCGGTGTAATTTTGACAATATATTTTATTATAATTATTAATCGTTAAAATTATTAGTCTTCTCAAATTTGTATACTAAGTAAAATTCTAGAAATATTCTTCTCACAGAAAAAAAAATTTATCATGATATCTTGTATAAAAACTTCAACAAAAATTGATTCCTTAAATCACAATAAAATATGAATTTTTATAATTTTAATCAAAAATTTTATTGTGTTTTTGAAAACTTATGTTATGAAAATAAACATAAGAAAAGTTCTTCACATGAATAATGATAAATTTTAACAAGAGCTGCGAAACTTATTGAAATTCTAGAAAGTTAACGTTTACACTATGTGTGAATAATTGGAAGTTCATCGGTTTTCATTTGAGATTTATTACAATAAAGATAGATGATATAAAAATTTAGAATTCATTTGAATATAGATATCATCAATTTAGTATCGAGACTATGAACTGTTTTATTCTTGCTGACGAAAATTAACTGTGGGGATTTGTAAATAATAATAAAAATGATTTAAAAACAAATATTATGAAGATTCATCTGAAGTTACGAGGAATTAAGCCATTGTTCAAAAGCGTCGCTGAACTTTCGTCGAGATGCAGGCAATTCACTAGCTTCACTATATTCAATCATCATTTGATAAATATCAGCAATCGTCTTTTTACTCGTTTCCATTTTTGCCAAGTAGTTTTTGAGGTTTGACGCTAATTGTTCATCATTATAAACGGAATAATCTAATCTTTTAAAATGATCTCCAAGTATCATTGCTGCACAAAGTTGTTGCAAAAATTTAAATGTTAAATCACCACCAAACACTCCACATCCCCAATTTCCTGTTACAATAATTTCATCTTTAGATTTATAAAATGCTGCCCATGCTTTCGCTAAATCTCGATCAATATGTGTTCGTGTGAATTGACCACTAAAACATGCATCCATAACAAGAATGTCTTGAATATATGCTGGATTTTGTTCATGATAATGACCTTGATAAGCAAATGTATCAGCATAACCAGTATATTCAACAAATCGTTTACACCCACGAAGAATCACGATTTCATCATCTTCTAATGTTTCACATGCTAGTATAGATAAAAATGCTTCAGGACAACAGCTAACTAAAGAAACATAAAAACAAAATGAGTGTTAAATTAATTATAAAGTTATATTTATTTACATAGAACTTCTTCTTGTGTAGCTGACGGGATAATTCTATGTATATGAATATGTTTATTAGCAAAATCAACAAAACCTTGTGCTTCATTGGCATCTTCCATTCGACCAGTAAATACATTGAATTTTGATGATTCTATAGGAATGTTTTGTTTACTCCAATCTGGTAATTCACTTTTATATGAATATCTTTCAATGGAAATTTGTCGATTATCATTTTGTTGCGATGATAAACGAAAATATTCAATTAAACATCTTATTCTTTCACTAGCCAAAACATCAAATAGTGAATTATATAAATGATTCAAATGAATGTTTCCATATCCTGGTATGGTGTTAAGAAAAAAAGCATTTGCAAGAATGTAACGTGCTTGTGCTACTGTATAGACAATAGTTCTTGTTGTATGAGCTTGAAGTGGTTCAATTAATTTTGATTGTGTATGATCGGAAGCCCATTTAGCTATTGTTGGAAGGAGATCATTATAAAAATCAAAATCTAATTGGCGAATAGCTTTGTCCAAACAATTATAGTTTCTGTGTTCGTTTTGTTTGATGGGAAACAAATTCACCAATGATTGAAAATTATTATTTTCATTCGAAATATTGAATATGCGTTGTTGATCCGCAATATATGTTGTGCTCGTTGACATGTATAATTTCTAGAAAACAATATCAAGTAATGCTCAGAAAAATTCGATCAGCATATAAAAATAGAGAAATATATAACATGATCGCGATATTTCTGATAGTTTTGAGCAGTTTGCTGTATTTATGCAAAACATCGAGGATGTTTTATTTCTATACAGTCGTACAGAGTATCATTACTCTATCAAATTAGATGATCTTTATTTTATTTATTTTGCATTTTTTCCAAAAATTTAATAAATTATGGGACGTACTGATATGAAACTTTTTCACGCTCATATTTCAGCAACAGCAACCTCAATAATAAATAATGAAAACTATGTAAGATGGGGAAAAATCCACCAAACGACCTCGTGTAAAACATTTTAAAGGAAACGAATTTGAAATTAACGAGAAAAGTAGCCTTTTTTGTTAAAAATTGACCCATTTTTGTGCCAGTGAAAAACAGAGTCGGAGTTATTTTCTTAAAAATCCGCTTCTCAGACGCGAGGTAAACCTGATCACAACTATGTAACTTGATAGCAAAGCTAACGCTCTAGTTAGATGCATCTTGAAAAAAGAAAATCATCTACTTTAAAAGCCAAAATCTTTTCAAAAACCATATCTGAGAAGAAGTTCACAAAAACATTTCTGAGAAATTCACTAGGCTTATGGTGGAAATATGAAAAAATCATATCGAAAAATATCTACTCCAATAGAGAAACGAATATGGTACATTCTTCAATACTAAAACAAAACGTTTGGTACTCCAATAGATAGGAGTTATCGAACAAACTGCATGACTCAGAATCAGAAGTGATCTGAAAATTGTTGTAATAAAATATTTTTATGACTACATCTCGTGAGTTATCAAAAGTTTTTCATCAGATTCAAGGAAAATAAAAATATGTGAATCGATAGAGTGATCTATGTTCTCTCCAGTTGTGTCAAAACGAGAAACTTCCGAGGTTTTACATGAATACAGCAAACAGAACAAGCCTATCAAAAATAACGTAATTATACTGTATGTCTATGACACCAATCAAAAAATATGGCAACAATCATAAAAGACTTTGACAAACAACTAATATATTGCTTAAATGAGTCATTTGACAACAAAATAAATATTTTCGATATTACTCAAAAGATGTGCAATTATTAAGAAACACTATTACACAGCGTATTTTTCCTGAATAGCACAAACAAGATTTTCAACGGAACGATCCCAAAATGCTGACACCACATTTACTCAGTGAGATGAGTTCCGAGAAAAGTAATATATTGATCAATTTGGGACATGTTTCTTCTCTTCATGCACATCTATAAATTCTCCATATTTTACATGTGTTGAAGCAGTTGGATCAACAAAGTTTACAGAATGATTGGCCATTTGATGATCGTATCGATGACGACCGTTTCCATTTGCAATACTGTTGTAGACGGCCCATGGATCGACGTAGATGGTAGTACCAGTGAATGAATATATTCGCAGATGATTGGTAGAAGTATTGCGGCATCGTGATGGTCAACTAAAACTCCAAAAAATTGCGAGTATCTCTGTCAATGCCATCCAAAACTCGTTGGTTTGAAACAGCGCGTCCTCAGTTGTACTTTTTTGCCCAAGAATTCTCATATATTTCCACAATATGTTCTGCTCCTCCAATTACCGCCACAAGTGTCGAAAACTACTCACCTCACAGTTCTGGAACGAAATCCTTCCAATCAACTGTTGTTGATTCCCTGGTAAACTAGCAATGACATCGTAGAAAGTGCATGTGAATCAATTCATTGCGATCAGAACTATATAAGATCTGGAATTTAACTAATTGAAAACTTCGAGTAAGAGAAAAGCGTACCGTGCCGAAGAGTTCTTGTAATTTTGCACTGTCCGCATCGTCATAAATATTCATCAGATGCTCATACATATACGCACCGAAGTTCCAATTGTTATGATCTTGCGCATAAGGTTCATTTAGAGTAAAACCAACCAAGCCAATGTTTTCACAAAATTTGATGCAGTTTTTAGTGTTATTAGTTAATTCGCTCCATTCACGAAAGTCAAGATTATGAAGGGACGGGAGTAATGTAATGTCCATGTTCGATGAAAATTCTTTCCTTTCAACAATTCTTTTACATCAACAGTTTTTATTCATTAATCAATTAATAGACCTGTAAAACATTTTCTTTTCATTCTATCAGTACAGTATTGCTCTATAAGTTTTTTTTACAACTTTCATCCTGGCTCATCTTTGATCGCAACATTTTAATTGATAAAATGACCCAATTACTCTTTTTTCCTTTCCTGTCACTTGCCATGTATGCTTGAACAATGAGGGTGTGTATCGTATAGAAGCATGCAAATCTTCTACTTTTAATAAGTAAACGCAAAGGAGGATGGCGGGGAAGGCCGTTTTGCGGCCCCTTTCAGATTTGAATTATTTCTATCAGCGATTAATCAAGGATCGTTCTTGATCACTTTTTTCAGCTTTCTTTCACGAAAATTGATATTGACAAGTTTTTTGCCTGAAATACCCCACAGGTATCATCGAAAACAAAATTTGTTTTATCGCGAGCCAAAGCCAGATGTAGTTGTAGATTTAAGGGTACTGATTACGAGTGTACAAATAAGAAGTCTCAAAACTACTTTGTTTCCAAAGTCGTCTTCACCACTCGTTTCACCCTATTTTTAATTGTTGGGACTGCTATATAATAGCATTTGATTTGAATTAAGTAGAAAATATGTTTGCTAACCAAAAATGTTGAGATTTTCACGAATCTGAACCTTTGACACCGAAAAAATGAACCCTTTAGAAAAAATATGGTGATTCAGTGGCAAAAATTGACTGGCTTTTAAATGTATAATTTTCCCATTAGCAGTTTGTTGTGAAAAGAGTGTTGCCGCAACGTCAAATTTTGATCGTAAGTGCAGTTTTTCAAGCTCCATCAACTGGAGATCTCAAAAGTAATAGAAAAGCTGTGCAACAGTATCAAAAGTTAAGAATATTAATAATTTCCATAAAATTGATGTAGAGGATCAGTCACAATTATATATGAGGTCTTGAAATCAACTGATTCGTAGCCTATATTGCAGAGCTTAATCAAATATGTACATACAGTAAAAAAGTTATGGATCTCCAGTCTTTCTTTTCGATTCAAAAATTTATGTGAAATTTTTACCTCCTTGCAACGATTCATACATCTTGTGAAGCGGATTTTTAAGTCGAAAGAAAGAGCGTAGATCCATAATATTTTTTCTGTGTGCACAGTTCATTAAGTTGTACAAGATGGAATATATATCTGTTGATTTCCCGATCTTATAGTTTTTAGTGGCGGCGGTTCCTTACAGCAATTTCATAGAAATTAATCGTGTTCTTAACTTTTCACCCTGTTGTACAATTTGTCTATTGTTTTTGAGAATTTCAGTGGATAGAGCTTGAACAACTGCACTTACGATCAAAATTTGACGTCGTGGCAGACTTTCTTCATTCTCAAGGTAGAAAAATATGCTGAGAAGGGGTCAAATTTTACCCCGATACCCCTACTTTTTTTCGATGTAAAAACTTAAGATTCACAGAGAACTTAAATTAACAGTTAGAGAAAATCATTTTGCACTAAAACTTATCTTCTCGTTATTCTATGAGGGCCCAAACAATGAAAAATAGGGTCAAACGAGTGGTTCAGGCTTTATGAGGAATAAAGGAATTTTCGAAGCTCTTATTGGGATATTCGTAATCAGTACCCTTAAACCTACAATTTCATCTGGCTTTGACGAGTGATAAAACAAATTTTGTTTTCGATGATATCTGTGGGGTATCTCAGACAAAGAACTTGTCAATATCGATTTTCGGGAAAGAAATTTGAAAAAGTGATCAAGAACAATCCCTGATTAATAGCTGATAGAAATAATTCAAATCTGAGGGGGCGGGGTGTCGCAAAGTGGCTTTAGCCGCCCTCCTCGTTTTTTGAATACAACCAATGGAAAGTCAAAAAATTGATATATTTTAACTACATACCCCAGATCGATCAACTTGGGTCGTACACGCCCATTTGACCATAATTTACGGCTGTTTGGTGTATACCGTATTACGGTCGTTTTGCATCGTGCCAAAAACAATCGTATACCATCGTATACTGAAATATCCGGCCATATTACGGCCGTTAGTTACCGTTTACGACAAGGCGAAATATAGCCGTAATATGATGCATGCCAAAACGTCAAATTGCGGCGATTTACGGTCGGAAACGTTATAAAACGGTAATATACGTTGCCGTATACGGCCGTTTACGATCGTATCAGGTCGTCGTAATGTTCGTCCGTGGTAGATCTAGTATTTCTGTCCGTCGACATCCGATAGGCTCTACAAAGAGCACAGCAAAATGCTTCTCAACAATTGTGCTCACTAAATACCACGCGAAAGCACAACTGAAACCAACGAAAAAACAAAAACAATATACATAATCTTCCAAACGATAAAAGAAGCATCGTCAGATTTATTCACCAAACGACAATCGACATACAAGATGTCCCTGGAATACAATGGCAATGTATAATTTCGAAATTTAATTAAATTTTTCACTTAAACAAGTGCTTTGATCAAAGTATTTATTTTTAGAGAATTTTTTACCAAGAAAACATTAGCATTTTTCTACATATATTTTGATTGCTGTGGAAGATGCACCTTTTCTTTTTTGTCCTTCACGAAGGCGTTTGCTATGTCAAGACGCGCAGTTGATATTTTGATCAAATTGAAATTGCGATATTTGCCTTGATGGAGAAGATCAATTAATTATTGAATATCTGTAAAATCATCAAGAGTTAAAAGTATAACCTTAATAACTTTAAATGTTTTTATCGAATATGATGGATAAACTTTAATTATTGTTTTGATATAACCCCTCTTAGCAGCTATCTTCAATGAAGAATTCATTTGAAAACATGCCGAACACAGAATGATGTTGCTATCACTGAGAGAAGCACGTAGAAACAATTTTTATTTTAGGTGTTGCGCATCATGTTGATTTTAAT